TATATACTAAACTTTGCACATTATATAGGCTACACTAACGTGACGTTTAGGCGGTTCATTTAACTATTATACGTGATGTACGTTGTTTTTTTTTGGGGCGGGGGGGGGGTAATGAAAGTGTTCCAAAACGCGACATTAATTTCTTGACGACCTAATATTTGAAAAAGTGCAGATATCCTTAGTGTAAAACATCTCAGAGCTCTAAAACGTTCCAATAGGATATTTTGAATTTTAACTTTATTTCAATTAAAATACATTTGTTAAAAAATATTTTGTATTCACATATTTGATCAAATATATTTTATCTATAAATTTTTACCCATTTCTTCGTGTGCTTGAAATATATAAATATATAAAGCTCCATACACATTAAAGTGAAACTGACATCTGGTGTTTAGGGAAGATACTATTTCATTTATCACAATTACAATATTACGGATTGGTGTCTCGTTAGTGAATATAAAAGAAAAATGTAAAAATACAAAACTTGAGATTTTCTTTTATATATATGTATGTGTGTGTGTGTTTCTTATACCTCATAATACTGGTGATTAGAACAATTATCTAATTCTGACAACAGTCTTCTTAAAAAATCTTCCTAAAGGCGTCACGTGGAATGACTATTTTGTTATCTTCTGTGTAAGATTGGATCAAATATGTAAACTTAAATGAATTTAGGCGATTTGTTTTTATAGGTTAGTAAGAAAACACATATATTCCATGATAAATACCCAGCTACCTAAAAAAAATCCAGGAAGTAGACATTGTCGTTACCTTTCGACTGAAAGTTCGTTGAGAATTTGGGTCAAAGTTATACTCTTGATCGTCTGGACTAAATGACATATTTTTAATAGTATATTAAAAGATAAATAGAATTAAATGGATTTTTAATGCGTATCTCGTTGTAAGATGTCTTATAGTTTATCATTCCACAAACAGTTCATTAGCCTCAAATATTTAGTACTGTTATCTTTGAATGATTTTTTGTACTACGTGGGGAATTTTATCTAATTATTCAAGTGAATTTAAAAGCTTTTTTGTGCTTCATCTCATATTATTTGTTCTGTTGAAAATTTTGCTCATGTTTATCAAAAGTGGCCAATATGTTTGTATACCATCTTTTCTTCCTAAAAAAACCCCGTCCCACCAAACATGCTCGCCCTTTCAGCCGTGGGGGCGTTATAAAGTGACATTCAATCCTACTATTCGTTGGTAAAAGAGTAGCCCAAGAGTTGGCGATGGCTGGTGATGACTAGCTGCCTTCCCTCTAGTCTTACACTGGTAAATTAGGGAAGGCTAGCGCAGATTGCCCTCGTGTAGCTTTGCGCGAAATTCAAAAACAAAACAAAATAAACTTCCTAAATATAGTATAAAGTTTATTTAGTAAAAATTTTAAAAATATTTTTGTAATAAATGTTTGAAATACGATGATCTGATCTCCAACTAATTTGTTTCTACATGTATTTACTTTAATTTATTTTTCCAGCGAAAATTGTGATTAGTTAGCTAATTGTGTACAGCTAACTTTTTTTGTGTGATAATATTTTTGATATCGAGAAATAACAATTTTTCAAACCAAATTCCCATACCAGTATGTATAACATGTTATTTTCTCTCTCTCTCTAGCTGTGACTGTCCGATATCTGACAAAAAGATACATTGGAGAATACAGTTCTTTTAAAGGTAAACTGTCATCAGTTCTTTTTATAGAGTTCTGTGTTTAAAGGTTTTATTTTTTTTCCAGTAGGGTGACACGGGTTACGCAATAATGATAAAATATTAATAAACACAGATGAAGTTATTATACCATTAGATTGATATAACAACAAGGGAATCTGGATTTTTATGTAGGCTTCAATATTAATTTCAAAAACATAATAACATAGTAGCGAAATTTAAGTTTAGAAATATCGTACGTTACATGTTTTGAAAAATAATTATAATAATAAAAACATACTAATTAAATGAAATACATTAAAAGCAAAAGTACATTGTGTATATTTTCTAAAGTGTGATATTCCATCACATAACCAAACCACTCTTTCTGACTACGCAATTCTCAATCACAAAATGGAAATAAACATGGATAAAATAAAGTTAAGACAGACTTTAAGCGCAGGAGGTCAAGTACTCTACTTATACGTTTTTATTTAAACAAAACAAAGTATTACACTCTGTATTCTACAGAAATAACCTAATGTATACAAATTGCGTCATAAAAACTGAAATGACAAACAAATGCACATTTCTGACCATTGCTCGGTTATTTACAAAATAAAAGTACAAAGGCAGAGGAAAAGATCAGAAGAAAAACCTCTAAACAAAAAAAATTGACATACTTATCTTTAACAAGCCTTTAAAACGCTCATCACACGAGTTTTTCGCAACTAAGTAATGTTGACCCACGCCAATTGCTCGGCGAAAGACGGAGATAGTGTAAGCAAACAATGCTAAAATAAAGTTTTGGGTGACAAATGCTGGTTGGTTACGCTATATACAAATTGATTAAAAATTCATATTGTCTTTCAAGAGATATCCGTTAACAGCAATTTCGATTCTATCTCGAAAATATTCATTTGACTGAAAGGTTGGTAGATTTAAAAGATTGTTAATAATTACTAATCCGCCAGGAGTAAATATGAAGCGATTGAATGGAAAAATAAAATATATTAAAGATATCAAACAGTAAATCTATCTGCAATAACTGTTTTTTATGGGAATTTTAAATGCATGAGAAGTTTCAAACGTTGTTTATATGCAGCATACAATACAGCCAAGCTAAGATCTTTGTAAGTTGACGAAACAAAAGTTTTTAAGTGAGCTATTTTTAGCAAAAGTTAAGTGTTTACAAAGTTTCATGTTCCTCTCAATGTCTTGAATCATACTGAGACAAATTGCTTAGGTATCTTTTAGGCCTTGAGAAAGCATGCGTTGGATAAAGCATGAAAGAATTCGGAAGCAGCCTCTGACTTCAAGTTAAAATGGCAAAATGTTTGTCTCTTTTTTTGCTGTTGTTGTTCAATGAATAAATGAAGCCTCAATTCAGCTCACAATATACATCGCGTAGTGACCAAGATTTCATAAAAGCAATGAAATGGTCATATCCAATATACATGAAATATCAAACTATTTCCATAAACCATTGAACCAAGCAAAACCACTTTCAAGAAATTTGGGCCTGGTGGTTAAGGCACTAAATTTGCATCTGCGGGCCGAATATGGTCGCCTTTTCAGCCGTGGGGAAGTTATAATGTAATAGTCAACCCCACTTTTCATTGTTAAAGAGTAGCCCAAGAGTAGTGACTCGAACTTGGTCAATAGTAAAACCCTCAGTAAACGAGTTTTATTATGATGGTCATTACTGGATACATTTCTTGATCAAGACCATTCAAATCCAGTACTACTGTCGTTATCAGTCAAACTCTAGAGTGGCATAATATTTAACCAAAGTTTTGAACTGATGTGAACATTGAATTGGTACTGTATTTTAGGTTGTAACCACATTCCCTTTTAGCGCCTTGTATACTCAGTTAATTCTACTCACGAGGAACATATGATGAGCAACTTGTGGCGCCATCTTGATTTTATCTAATTATATTATTCAATATCGCTCATTCATTTAGTCCATCTCAATACAATTTTTTTCTAAGTGTTTGGGGCTATTTCATAGGTTTGGTTTTGCGAAAACAAATTATATCATGCCAACTTTATTTTTGTTTGCAGATTATCTATATCAACACAGCGTATCTTTCGATAATGTCACAACAGAAGTGGAAATCTTGGACACATCCGCTTGTAAAGTAAGGATTTATCTATCACTCAAGTATTTTTAGCTCCAAAGAAACTCGTTTCCATTTCCCACTTGCTATTCATTAATCTCTAACTTGCATAAATTTTTATGCTTACAGTATCATAGTGTAAAATATGACTTGTAAAATGCACAATAGTTTTAAGTTGAGATTAATAATCATTACTCAAATGCCTGAAGTATGTGCATATAACTTTTGTTTTATAGAAAAATACGTTGTTTATGATTACTAGACGACATTTCCGAAATTAAAGAGAAAAAAACGAGGTTTATATACGCATTGCAATTAACAAATACTTGTATAAGAAAATAACTATTTAAACTTAATATTCAATATTGTAATTGTACTTCTGCAAGTGATAACATTTCATTTGTCTAAAGTTCTGAATAAAGTCATCATATCAAGTTAGTGAAACTGGAATGAACAGACTTTTCAGCGAAGAATTCTAAAAATCATATTAACCGACTCCATAGTTGACGCCCCCAGTAGCACAGCGGTATGTCTGCATACTTACAACGCTAGAATCCGGGTGGGCAGAGCACAGGTAGCCCATTGTATAGCTTTGTGCTTAACTTCAAACAAACAAAACCAAACCATAAATGACTTTCTGACTACAGCAAAATAAAAAATAAAAATCATCATAATTTTCCATTTGTCTTTGTATACTGTTGCTGTGTGCCTTACTGAAATTTTAAATTATGTTTAATTTTGTATTTTCAAAACAGAATTAGTACCGGGCCATAAACCTCTGATAGTTTATAAACTATTTGATGTTGCTCTAATCATGAATCAGTAACATTGATGATTTACAAGTATTAACTGAACAATAAAGACGACTTATATGTAGCGTCTCCGTGTTTTTTGTAGTACGTGTTTTTCAAACACTCTGTTACGTCTCTGGTCATTAGTTAATTTCCCGTATAATTTCTTTCCAATGAAACATAAGCGACACAAGTCCTTTCTTAAATAAAACTAGTTTATTCTTTCTCAATACAACTTTGCAATACACTTAATTTCCACAGTCACGCTTCTGGTATTTCCTTTGTGATCCA